TATAGTATGTGTGGCATGCAGTGATGTGTAGGTCTTGCTTTCGAGGATGTGTGTGGAAGTGTGTGTGTCTATTCTCTCTCCTCTCCACACACTATCATGTCTAAAATTATCTCTCCCAGAGTAGGAAGAAGACGTCCCCTCTGCCGTGGGAGCTGCAGGATCATTCTGGAGCGCACCATTTAGCAGCTGAAGCTGGAAATACAGCCGTGGTTCACATTGTTCACACAGTCACCACAAGCAGACAGCACAACAGATCGAAAGCATGATGAAGACGGCTGCTGCTGCTGTTATAAGCTAAGCTAATGTACTTGTTTCCATGATAAATAAATGATAATATGTCAGACATCACATGAGCAAATCTTTTAGAGATGACCTAAAGCTCCTGTCTGTTAACTTTCACAGTTTTCTTCTATTATTTAAAGCTTTTGTGATGTTTTTACTACCAGCTGGCATCATTTGGGCAGTGTTTACGCCTGGCATCTCGTATCCGGATGTTGTTCCTGTACAAATTGAACAGAAAAGTGTAGCCGTGTTTGTGTTCTGAACACGGCCTTATTTACAGTCTAACTGTGGAAGTTCGTGTATGAAGCACAGGCTGCTTTAAGGAGTCGTATCTGTTGTTATGTACTCGACTCGGCGCCCCAGATAAATACAGATAATTGTGACTATTAGTTTGTGAATCATTTCAATTGATTCACTGTCCTCATCCACCTTAAAGAACCTGCTTTATTTCTAACACACAAAGGACAAAAATTACATATAATTTTGTACAAAATGCACTCAGAATAAAGGATCACACAGTCTGTTAAGCTGCTACTATGGATTTTATTTTATGCTCTCTCATCTGATTTATGAGCTCCTAGTCTGAAATTTAGCCGTCAATATTCACCTCACACTGAAGTGACTGTGATAAGCGCAGCAATACAAGACAAACAGAGTCATAAGTCCGAAATTATAACAATAGCAGAACCCTTTCTGGTGGTATATAGAACCTTTTTCAAAAAGGTTCTATATAGAACCATACACGACACATTCTCCATCAATGTAAAGAAGGTTTTTCACCATGTGGAGAACCGTTTAAGCATGAAATGGCTCTATATAGAACTCTTGGTTCTAAAAAGATCCATTCTCTTTATTAAGGAACCCTTAAATAACCATCTTTTTCAATAGTGCAGTTCATACTTAGCAAGCTGTTTCTACGTCTCCAGCGAACACTGCTAATCTAATCTGGTTATAGTCATTTTTTACACATCCATCGTTTTATCGCTCTGTAAGTCAAGTCAAATTTATTTATATAGCGCCTTTTACAGCAGATGTTGTCACAAAGCAGCTTTACAGAGAATCCGGGTCCCCCAGTGAGCAAGCCTTGGCGACAATGGCAAGGAAAAACTCCCTCAACAGGAGGAAGAAACCTCGAGAGGAACCAGACTCAAAAGGGGAACCCATCCTCCTCTGGTCGACACCGGATAACAGCACAGACACAAAACAGTATAAGTGGATACAGTTTAACACCACTGTGCAGAGCGCCGCCCGCATCTCAGGTCAGACCCTCTTAGGACAGGCAGCCCAGGGAAAGCTCAGGGAAAGAGGGGGGGATAGGGGGGAGGGGGGTGGATAAGAGGGACATAGTTATTAAAACTAATTAACCAAAAGCTCGACTAAACAGGTAAGTTTTTAGCCTAGACTTAAAGATGGAGGCTGTGTCTGAGTCCCGAACACAGACTGGTGGGCTATTCCAAAGCTGGGGGGCTTTGTATGAAAAGGCTCCTCCCCCTGACGTAACTTTATTTATTCTGGGTACTAATAATGAGCAGCACCTTGTGATCTAAGTGGGCGTGTCGGTCGATAATAGGAAATAAGGTCACTGAGGTACTGAGGATCAAGGCCATTCAGAGCTTTATATGTCAGTAGAAGAATTTTGTACTCAATGCGGAATTTAACTGGCAACCAATGTAAGGTACACAAAATTGGGCTAATGTGGTCAAATGTCCTGGTTTTGGTCAGAACTCTGGCTGCAGCGTTCTGGACTAACTGAAGCTTGTTAAGGTTTAGGCTGGAACCAGAAAGCAGAGTGTTACAGTAATCTAACCTGGAAGTGATGAAGGCGTGAACTAACATTTCTGCATCCTGTAGCGACAGTGCATTTCTTAATTTAGCGATGTTACGCAGGTGGAGGAAAGCTATTCTGGTAATATTGGTAATATGCTCATCAAAGGCCAGACTGGGATCGATTGTGACACCAAGCCTTTTTACAGATGTGCCAGGTGCAACTGAGAAACTATCGAGATTAAGAGTAAACGTAGGCAGAGTATCCCTAGCAGCTTTTGGACCCAGAAGAAGAACTTCTGTTTTGTCTGAATTTAGTAGACGTTAGCTGACGTTATTGTACTACTTATATCCTTTATTCAGTGGGGATGAGCGTTGTTGTGTTTTTGGTGTTCTCCGACAATTCTGGACACATCCTCGAATCTCAATCTTGGCAGCTACAACAAAGATAAATGACCCACCGTTCCACGGTGAGCACCGGAGATGCAACCCAAGCCATTGGAGATGGTTGTTGTCCCTGCTGAAAAAAAACAAGCTTTGCTGGTTTATGCTGGTCTGGAGCTGGTTTAGCTGGTCACCCCAGCATGGTCATACTGGTTAACCAGCATACCAGTGTCAAAACACAACATATGCCGTTTTGGTGCTGGTTTTTCTAGCTGGGGTAGGCAGGGCGTGCTCCTTTACCCTTACCTTCAAATCACAGTCAAACCCTCTTTTTTGGTCTCCAACTCCTTCACATAGAGCAGTTTAACCCGTCTCTCCCTGCCGCATCTCTGGGCCCTGTAGACACAAAAAATAACAGATCAACCGAGGCAAAGTAGCTCTAGCACCATTTAGCTGAATGGCTGAATCAGGGATGTTTCGGTCACATTTGAAATGATTATTAAACGCAGCAGACTCTCGATCAGCACCAGCTGTCTAGCCTGTTTTATTTGAAGTAGTCCGCTTTGGTTTCGAGACAGTGGATACAGTGGCCAGTCTTTTGGGGTTCATGGAAGCCAGAGCGACGAGGCCTGCCTGAGGAACCACCTGACCTGGTCATTTGCATCAGATACTGCAGTTGGGGCTTTGAGCGCAACAAGCTGTAGACCAGATGGTGCTAAAGCAGTACTGGAGCAGCAAGTGTACGCAACGCATGTGCCAAACGAACAACTTTTTAATAAAGCTTAAGTCGGCTTCTTATTCAGGTTTCCTGTTTCACTTTAAATGTCGAAGCCAGGCCGGAAACAGACCCAATGTAAATACGCCTGACAAATGCATTGCAAATGCATGGTGCTTCCATACACGCTCACCCTCAGTACTCAAAGGAGTAAAACAGGACAAATCAGAACATGATCTACTGTCATTCCATCGGCCACAACTACTAATCATGTGGGCCTCGCATGTTTCTGGTCCATGGCGTCTGTACAGGTGCCAGAACGTAACTACTGCTCCATTAAGATGCAATGGAAAGATTTAAATAAAAGGCTGCCAAATAGTAGGCAAACCTCAGCTCTGTAGACATGAAACAACATGTAGAACTGTTTTTCCATGCCGTCGGGCTGGTGTTAGAAAGCGATATTAACATAGAATTATTTATGTATTGTTTAATTTTCTTTCTCATTTCCATACAGGAATTCCACAACTTTTCCACAATATAAAAGGAAATTTCCATTTGAGAAATGAGGAACAGTCACTCTTTACACCAAACTCTTGGGAAACTGTGAGTTTTCAGATTTACAAACGTTCTATAGCATATTGTAAAGTTTTTAGCAGTATTCTGGCCATAGTTACGGTTTCTAGGCTATGAAAGACCAACTGGTTGAACCTGTTTGCTACAGCGCCACCCTGAGGCAGAGCAGTGCTGCAGCGCTAGTTCTTTAAAGTACCAATGATAGAAGCTGATTGTGGGTGAAGCAGATAAACAATGACATTTACCTGAATTTGTATTTAACTCAATGACCAGCACAACATCATAATGTGTACAAGCATTTTCAGGGCCCCCCTTTAGAATTTTGATTTTGAGACATTTAGGGGGTCTGAGAGGCTATTTAGTAGGACCTGGACCATCCAGGACCTCCTGTATTTCGCACTTTGTGTACAACATGAATAAACTATGTAGTGTAGTGTCAGAGTAACCTAATTAGAATGTTTATTATGCACTTCTTTAAAACATTTTTGACTGACTCAATATTTTTGACTAAACAAACACAAATGTATTGGGTTCTGTTCATTTATGTTAATATTAAATTACATAAACACAGCAGCTTTTTGTCCAGCATAATTGTGTACAACTAATGTGATCGAAACATGCAGCAGAAATATAAAAATGAATGTTTAGAATAACAGGACTAGTGTTGGAGTAACTTTATTAGAATACGCATAATGCATTTAAATAAAATACTTTTGATTAACGTAACATTTTTTGATTGAAGCAACGTAAATGTATCAGGTTCTGTTAATGCAGCTCATTCACTGGAACAGAAGAAAAACTTTTCGACAGGAGCCACGGTCAGCGCAGTATGTTCTACATAAAGAGAGCATCCTTTCTGATTGGTTATCGCCCCACGTCACTGCTCTACTGTGCAAAGTTGAGCAGAGCTTCTGTTGCTCAAATCTCTGGGTTCACATTGCCAACAGTTGCTCTGCTGCTCGACGCTGAGCGTCTCTGTCTGTCCTTCAAAACGAATGATCTCCAGCTGCACTGATGTGTTTGTCTCAGACGGTGTTTGTGCACAGTCAGAGCGACGCCCTCAGTTTGGGCCTTAAACTCAGTCAAAACAAGGTGAAACACCTCTATGGTAGCGCTAATTACTGGTAGCATCCCTATGGGCTTCTAGTAGTATGTTAGCGATAAGCTAACAGTGATTCACATGAACAGTTTTGGCTGTTCTAGACTAAACACACACACACACACACACACACACACACACACACACACACACACACACACACACACACACATCCGAGGCTTGTAAAATACATTCCATGTTTTATTTGAAGCTTGTAAGACATTAACATATATCTGAGCTTATATGAATCAGTTTTACAGTCACTTTTCCAGTGAAGTTGTTTCCATTCCTAACAACTAACTGAAACCTGCTTAGACTATGGCTCGTATTTACAGACAGTGGAGTATCTAGAACAGAAGGCCTATCTAGAACTTTCAGAAGTGATGTTTTTCTTTCCACTCACTGTAAATTAAAAATGACTGGTTGGTTCCACTGTCAGCTCCTCATTATATGAGCAGTTGAACTGCTTTCAGGTCTAATTCAGTGGTATTTTCTCCAGAGAGGAACTCGTTCATCAGACGTTCTCTTTCATGTGGTTTATTTAATAGATAAACAAAACATGGAGAACCTGAAATGGTTATAGTTTAATAGCTAGTTGGCGTCTATCAGTGTTGATCTGTATTACAGAGTTAATTGTGCGTGATTAAAATTTCCTTCACCATTGCTGTTTATTCTATTTGTACAGTGTTATTTGATTACTGTACTTCTTTCCTCCACTATGATGAAAATAGAGCCTCCAGTTGAGGCTGGATCAAAAACTCCTGCACCCCCAGATTCATCATTCCTGGTGGGAAACCAGTTTTCCTGATTAAACTGAGACCACTTGAAAGCAGCTTTGATCTGACACCCCAGGCCTTCAGTCCTAACCAGTGGGAGAGCTTGACTGGCTGAATCTACTAAGACACCATGGAGAAAAACATCCTGATTGGACAGTTTTCAAGACTTGAACCCTTTTGTTTCCAACCAAGACTTGCAGAGTTTAAGTCCAGGAAGCTCAAAGATTATATGAAACAAACATAAACTACAAATTACAGAAATCATTCAGCCTCACTGACCATTAGTTTTACACACATGAACAACAGACGGGGACATTTTACACATTCTTAGCTTTAAGGAAGTAAATTAGAGAAGAACCACAACACACATTGTTTTTCTATTATTGTGCTCGAATATTTTTAAATCATCAACACATGAGATAGTTCTAATTTTCTAGATTGTTATCTTGAGATAATGAGTCAATTATCTTGTGACCTTAAGATAACAAAGTTGTTGTCTTGAGATAATGAGTTAATTATTATGTGATCTCAAGATAACAATCCAGAAAATTATAGCAAAAGCTTGTGTCCTCTCTGGACTTTCGTGCAAATAAGGAGCGAGATCCAGATCAGACTCGCGCTCATCTGAGAATCAGTTCAGCGGTAGTGGAGCAGGCTGCACACTAGACGTTAAGACGTTAATTGATTTTTTCCTGCTTTTTGCTTTATGATATTTTGCCATTTTTTCTTTGTTTCTCTGTTGTACGTTTCCAACTTGACAGTCCTCTTTACCACAGAGAGCGCCTTTTTTCTGGGAACAGGGTAGTTAATGCACAATGTTTCCTCAGTAGGACCAGGACTCCCGATAACAGTCATGAATAGATGTCCACCCCCCTTAATTTTGCCAAAATCATTATCTGGCAATCTCAGCAAACAAACTCGGTCGTCCTTTGCGAAGTTTATCTTGCTGTGGTTAGTAATCTTTCCGCTGATCCCTTCATTTGTAGAAGCCCCTGCCTCTGTTTTGGCACCCAGCTCAATGCCCTGCAGCTTCAGCCTCCCTACAGGGCATAAGATCTCGATTTCAGAGCCTGAGTCATTAAACACATAGGTGGAGGAGGAAGCTCCCATTCTCTCTTGCTTCGCCCAATCAGGACCTGTAGAGGAAGAAGATTCTGTTAGACCAAAATGCTGAGAACACTTTACATTTAGTCTCGTTACAGTACTGGAGGACATTTTCCCTGTAACAGTACTTTTTTGAGTACTTTTACTTTTCTTTGACTTCATTTGGAATCCAGTGCTGATTTCTGGCTACTTTCATTTTTAATAGCTTTACAGAGTAAAACTAAACTGCATTTCAGCTCATAAACCAGTTTAAATCCTAAATCCAGCTCTGAAAGCCAATCAAAACAAAGCAGCTCCCAAAAAACACTTCGGCCCTGATGAGCTCAGAGACGGCGAGTTTAGCGGAGGAAGAAAGAGGAGATCGTTAGCAGCACAAACGAAGAGTATACTTTACCCAAACGGTCATTTTCATTTGTTTTCACATGAATTAAAGAAAACAGGGTCATTATCAGCTGCAAAACTCGCCTCCCAAAACCTGCTGAGATCTCAGATCTCCGCTCTTCACAGCTCAGCCTCCACTCTGACAAACCAGCCGTTAGCTGACTGGCTAACTAATCCCAGCTGAACAGGTACTGAGTCCGTTTTTACTACTTTCTTCTTACTTTTTTGATTTAGAACAACATGGCAGCTATTTGTTGAACTTGAAAGCTGGTGTGTGTGTTTTACTGAGCGTCTGTCAGCTGCTACTTTAGGTAACGACTCATACGGTTTACTGTGTAAAGTATAGCTTAGTCAGTTTTGGAGGTAAACGTCCGTGTGAGGCTGTGAGGGAACTCTACTCTAAGACAGGCTCACCAGAAATGCTGGACAATGACTCTGTGGGACTCTAATTTGTTTTTTAGACTATCTAGCCTAAACAGGAGTCTAAACGTGAAGTACGAGTGCAGATGTACTCCTGTTACGAGATCACATCTGGCCCTGTGAGAATAACTCACCTACCTTTAAACTTGTGATGATTGTTGTTGTAACGATTGCTGGTCACACAGCAACTTGGACAGCAGAGTCTCACACGGTCAGCCAGGCAGCTACTGAACCAGAGAAGACGAGAAAGACTCAGTCATTAAGAGACTTTATAGATTGATGGATTTTGGCACTGATGTGTGATTTAGCAGATGTTGTTTGAAGATAATTAGATCACCTACACGAAAGAATGTATAAGGCCTTAATGTAGTACTGATAGACAAGTGAACAAGGTTCCCTGGCTTTACTCAGAGCCATTTGGTTGTATTGAGTCAAGCTGTACTGACTCCACACACCCCGTCTCGTCTCCAGACTTTTTATTTTATTGTTTGTTTTAAAACATTCAGTTACGAAAAGGTACAAATACGAACTTTTCACCTGGAAAAACGTATTTAAGGTTCACAATCAGACCTTAAAACCCACTGTTGTACCTTTGAGGGAACAACAGTGAAAAACTGTTTAAAAAAGACTTGAGATATTTGAAAGAATGTGTTCTGATCTATTTAAAACCCAAAGCATTAATAGAGACAGTAATGAGCTAAATATATACACAATCATCATTTATAGGGGACTTTCTGTTGTGAGGCTTCTGTCCCAAACCCTAACCCCTAAATTTACACTTCTAAAAATAATACTTACGTTTTTTAGAAGGACGTGGGTGGGCTTGTTGTAAAGGGCAGGACCTGATCTAGCGGGGTGTAAAGTTTGGGACCTTAGATTTATCATGAGTTTAATTTTTAAGTAAAAAAAATGCTGTCCCACATTTTCACGTCACTACCGAAGCACAGAGTTTATCCCATATGGCCTCATGGCCACATGGTGAGCAGTTAGGTCGTATTGTTTTGAAGTAAAAGTGTCCCAAAGAACTACATCTTTTCTGCAATTACTTAAACTTTTTAGTGTTTTAATGAAAAATATGACTATTTTAAGTGTGTAAACTGTTCAAAGCTGTGTTTGCTGGTCATGTACTGGCTGCATTTTTGAGTTCTGCTTAAAATGAGCTAAAATTGTCACTGAACAGTCACTACTGAGACATTTGGTGAAGTTTCAGTAGTGTGATTATTGTTTTGGTAGTGATAAAATGGAATGTTCAGTCATTAATTTTAATAAAATAATGATGAGGTTAAAGTATATTCACTCACAGCAAATGGGTTTTAGTCTAAAGTTGAAGTTAAAAGTCAGTTAAAATGTGTTTTCAACCCTGACCAGTTCAGTATAGTCATCCACATAGATGTGCATCTCAGTTATGTGATTTGGTGCCTTCTGAAGTTTAGGGTTTACTTTTTAATCACTTTATTTTGGAACAACATTCAAGTCTGGTTAAGCTGTGGTTTTGTCAAGTATTAAAAACTCAGCTAAACTGAAAACTAGATTCAAATGAAAAGCCAAATGATATGTCAAAATGGCTCTGGTGTGGTTGACTGATTTGAATGAGGCACTATTGATTCATGACAGTGAAAACTGAAAAAATGTTCATTAAAACTAAATGTCATTAAAAAAAATGACCTTACTTTATTTTGACAGTTTCTCAACACAGTTAAATCATAAGGAAAAACCAATTGGTTTAAAGCTATAAGGTAAAAAAGTGTAGTTACACAGTCAACAGATATCGTGTGCTGTGAACATCTGCATGAATTATGTAAATATTAAATCATCGCTGTCCAATGAAAACCAGGTATCTCTATTTTTTGTTGATTTTTAGTTTCCTACATTGTTTTAACACACCAGCTGTCCTTTACATTGCGTAAAAATTTCATTATAAATGGACCAATAGAAATGCTCTAAAATCACTTGGAACAAAGGCTCTTTACATTGACTTACATTAAAAGGTAAGAGTGTTTTTGCAGTATTGTTGCTGCTTTTGTTCATCAAAAAGAAAAAAGTCAGATTCATACCATCAGAAATTTGAATTGAAATACAAAAGACCTGAATTTGAATGTTTCAATGTTTTGAATCTGCGTCTGAAATTAAATTGAAATCTGAAATTGAGCATTGAGTTTTTCTATTACATCACATTTTCAGATTCGCTTCAAAAATAACACCTGAGTGTCTCACAAGCAAAATTCAAAATAACAATACACAAATTCTGATTTTTGCATTTGAATTCACATTTCTAAAGGCACTCATTTCACATCAAACCATTCTGGTTGATAATGACTGTCATGCGGACATATTTTGAAAAATCTATGGAACTTTCCACTTTAAACAAAGTATTCAGCTCTCCTTTTTCACAAGCATCCATCAAAGCAGAGTCTTATTTAACAGTTCTCGTCAGAGCAGAGCATGACTTACCTTTGTGCTGGTCAAAACGAATTTGCCTACCTTCAGCCGAACGTAGTTAAATACACTCACTTGGACTCCTCCCTTTTTCAGAATACACAGCCTCAGAGAATCATTTCTCTGCCGTATTATATAATTACATACTTGCTTCAGCCTGTTATCAAAGCGTTTATGTGGAAACGCTTTCTCTATTCCTGTAGCCCAGGGGCGTGCAAACTTTTTCCAAAGAGGGCCAGATCAGACCTGGACACAATAACTGAGGGCCGAAAGATTATTCACAAATGAATCAAAATATTAGGTTTTTAAAAATATGAAAATTATAACCTTGGAGAGCAGTGAACTGAACCGAGTTTCTTGCTTATGATCCATTCCGAGAATTTGCAGATGACCCCTTAAACGTGTGTACATCTGCTGCCAGAGGAGTTAGGACACACGCATGGTCAGAGCTTCTGTGACCTACTGTGTTTCCTATCACTGTATAAAAGATGCACATGGCTTCTTTTATTGCTGGATTGGTCATTCAGAGTAATTTGGATTGGTGAGCACTACTGATTTGGTTTAATAATAAGACATGTCTAATATGCTCAGCATAGTCCTGTTCTAGTGTTTACTTTTTCAAAAATATCATTTGTGAGACAAACTACACATTTATATAATCTATACATCTTCAGGTTTGTTCGATCGTGATCTTTACATACCAAATAAATGCAGAGTCAGTAAATGCATTCATTCACTTTTTTAAATGAGAGCGGAATAAACAGCATAAATAGCCACATTTAGTTTCAGGTTAATATTTACTGAACCACTGAAATTGCTCTGATAAGAAGTTGGTGCTGTAAGACTCGGGTAGCTGCAGCTGCTTTAGTTTCTCTGCCCTCTCCTGAATATGTATTGTAACGTCCAGGCTTAGTTTATTTTTATTTCTCTACCTCAGACTCACTAACTGCACATTGTTGATGAATTTAAAAGCAAAGGATCAGTTGCATGACCCCACCATCAACCACTTCATCCAGAAGGACAGGAGGATGGACTTTTGTTATGTCATGACTTTGTTTGTAAGTAATGCCCTGATCCGTTATTTAAAATTGGATTTTTGGGATGTGGTGGGGAGGTCCATTCGCACCAGAGATCCTGCACCTACAGATACCACAGTGCTGAGGGTGGCTATCCAGATGGCATAGCTCAACCTCCCTCCAGACGTCTTCTGTCCACTTGTGGAAGTGATGCCATGCCAAGTTGCTGCACTTCACCAGGCTAGAGAGGGTCCTACGCAACACCAGTTCCTGTCCCATCACTTTTGGCATGTCATCAACAACAGTAACAAACTGAGTGTTTAGAATCTGACGGTTTCTGCGTGAGTTTGTAAAACGAATGCCCTTGAGTCTGAAAATTGGATATACGGCCATGTTGATCACACCTGGAACAAAGTTGTGATTGTGGAAGATGAGTCCAAGACATGTGGAGCAGTTATGAACTAGGCAGTGCTTTAATAAATTCTGGATCTAGGTTTTCTGTAAGGGAAATAAGTTTTACTCCTGTTAAAAGAGGAACCAGAAAAGGTACCAAAATGTTTAATTAGGTCCAAAAGCAGAAAAAGGGGTGAGGCAGAGTCAGATATATACAAAAGCAGATCGTCTGCATACAATGATAGTTTGCACTCAGTATTTCCAACCATGATGCTCTTGATATCATCATGGCTCTTAATACTCATGGCAAGTGGTTCCAGTGCCAGGTTAAACAAAAAGGGGACTATGCAGCAACTCTGCCTTGTTCCACACTGAGTGGAAAATAGTCAGATTCATCATAGCTAGTGAGAGCTGCTGATTTGGATTTGTGTTCAGGTCTGTGGGACCCATTTTCAATGTTTACCAAAAGAAAAAATGATGTGATTTATTATTAATTCAACCTGAGATTCTTGGTCTTTGCTCATTTTCTGTGAAGAACATATAAAATAACCCATTTTCAGTGTCTTCACTCTGTTCACCCCACACACATTTATATTACACATGTGGTGTTGGGTGAACCTGTGGGGAGTAAAAGTGTGGAGGTGCTGTGTCCTTCACTCTGTTCTCCTCCTACATGGCCTGCTGTTAGTGTGTATGTGTGTGTGTTTGTATATATGTGTGTGTGTGTGTGTGTGTGTGTGTGTGTGTGTGTGTGTTTGTATATGTGTGTGTGTGTGTCAGGGTGGACAACATGGTCACGCTGCTGACTGGCTACAGCTGCTAAAGGAGAACCCTACACTGACCACTTGTGATATTTTAAACATCTGCATTTTAACATAAATTGTTATGGCTGTATTGATGTAAAAAGCAATAATGCGGTGGGTCCACCAGACCACTGAGTAACTACATCAACACCACACAAGGGTTATAAAGCTGGGGTTACACTACACAATGTTTACCCTGATTTTAGCCCAGATTCTCAGACAGGCTGAGTCTGAGCTGGTCGGCTCTAGTCTGCAGATTTTTGGGTCAGTTGGAGTCGACAGATGGAGAGAGAATCGAGTCGTGTTTGAGAAGCGCAGACTCCCAATCACGTTTCAGACCTGTTGGAGTTTATCAAACATGATTGATTTTTTCGACCCGACTCTGAGTGTAATCTAGTGTAAACTGATCAACGACTAAATCTGAACGGATTCCTGTAACAGCCAATGAAAACAGGAAGTAAACAAAGAAAAATGGCAAAAAGCGTGTGGAGCGAAGCTTTTTAATGAGCTCAGTTTAAAGCACAATTGAGTTTATGTACATTTAAAACTAAAAAATATCAAACTGATCACATTTTTAAATCCATGATCCTCACTTAAACATGTTTACCTGCTGTTTCTTTGTGTAGCACAAACGACAGAGAAAACCGCTACACCTTTGTTTATTTGCGTCTCCTAGTAATGGGAGAATGCGAACGTTTGCATGAGTTCAGTGAGCTTTGTTCAATTCAGCAACAGCTTAAAAGTTGAGTAGTGTGTGATCCCTAATCATTTAGCATGTGATCCCCATTATTTCAATCTGCAAAAACCAGTCGAATAGTGTGTGCCCAGTCTGGTGGTAATGACCGTAGAAATGACCTTTTGGTAACAATTCAATAGATGTAATGGTCTGTAACTTCAGGGATCAACTTTGTGTTTTTTATTAACAAGAGGCAAATATTACACAGGGAAGGAGGGAACCACTTGTTTCTAAAATGGCTAATCACTCTGAGAAGTAGGGGTGTAATGGTGTCTTTAAAAGCCTTATAAAATTCAATACCAAATCCATCTGGAAAAGAAAGTCAAGAAATGTCTCAGTCTCATAGTCTGATAAGTGGCATCCACAGGGATAAAGATTTTAAAGCAGTTATTGATCCTTTGGATTGGTTCAAATATTTCCACAGTCTGACCTTATTTTACAGATTGTCCTGCTTTCCTGTACCTCCTTTAGTGGTCTGACTAAAAGTTTAGTGGGTTTATCTTCTAACTGAAACGGTTTCTGTTTGAGTGTAATAAGAAGGTTACTGATCTGTTCACCCATAATGGAGCTCTATTCATGCTTTCATTTCAGAGTGCAATTTAAGATCTTCTTGTAAAAGAGGCTCCCAGCATTGCATCTCAAGGGCAGGAAGCTGTGCTTCAATTTCTGACAGACATGCACGCCTCTCCCTTTTCCAAGAAGATTCATAAGAAACCATTTTCCCCCTCAGTAGCCTAATAAATCCATTATGTCTCCTCACTGTAAAACGAATCACTCCCAAATACAACTTTAGCCGTTTCACTGGCTAAAGAAACATGTCTTGTGCTTCACACCACTGCCTCACTTTACTAGGCTTTTTTTCCGTGGTAGCCTCATTCATTGCAAGTATTGTACATAGTAATTCATTTTCTAAAGATGTATAATCAGTTAATGGCCATTTTCATGCAATTAGATTTCATAAAACCTAAAATGCAGGAAAACACTGTATGGAAAACCACTCCCTCTGTGGAAGCTGGTGTACGGAATACTGATGGCACAAACCGATGATACAGATGTTTTTTTTTTCTTATTTCTTTAAAAGTATTGGCCCAAATATGACCAATTAAATGCAGTTAAGTTGCCAGGCAGATTTTTTTTAGAGTCCCACTAATCATTATATTCTATATGCCTTCAGGTATGTCCACAATAACTACTGAAATGTGGAAAGTGCTGAAGTACTGTACAGAACATTAACATTAGCTAGCTGACACGCCACCTACTGTAAGAATTTGAAGAAACTTCAGTGTGAGAGAGTGAAGAAGCGACAGAGGTAGAAATGTTACTGAAAGCTCTTTATATTATTTGTTTTTATATTTCTCTTCAGTATTTGGAAAGAATGACAGTATTTGCCATATGTTGTTGTGTATGTTAAGTTATTGTCAGTGTAAAAGTCCTATAATGCTGATCATAAAGCAAATTTATATCCCTCAATTCCTCAACCTGCAGATGGAAATTAAGAGGCAGCAGCCTTTATTTTAATAAAAAAATAATGTATTACTAAACACAGGAAGAGAAGGAGTGAGAGAAGCTGGAGGAGACTGACAGGATTGAAGGAGCAAATCTGATAAGGGTTACTGATCCAGAAGAAAGGGAAGGAGAGTTGCTTGAGCTTTCAATAAAAAACATTCTATTTAATTGATCATAACTGAAAAAATCTAATATTTGTCAACATGACCATTAATTCTGTCACCTAGCTTATTAAACATGCCTACTATGTCCTAGACATTTGATTGCATTCTTATATAATCAATGATTAGAGGCTGAGACAACCTGTTAAAAACCCCACGAGTCACTAAGACGGACAAAATTCTTTTTTTCCTGATTTCTTGTCTTAATTTGCAATTTGGACCATTTGGCTCCACCCACTTATATTTCTTGCTAACTTGCATAATAAGTGAAACCTACTTTTGTAAACTAGTCCTAGGTTTTTCACTCAATCCTTATGTAACTTATTTTAGACAAATTGAAGGACTTGATAAATTGATATTTATACCTATCATCAGCCAATTAGCAGTCAGCAAGCATTTAAAAAGCTTAACATTGACCAATCATCATGAAACTGGAATGTTGTGGCACTTTCTATGTAGGCACTTTCTAACAACCAGTGAAGTTTCAAACGATTTACCCACTTGGGGCGCTATTCAGGAAATAAAGTATGTCTCATAAAACTTTTTCATCTTATACAACTGGTTATATGCAGTACAGTGTTTTTAAACATGCCTACAGAGCAAAATCACACTCTTTCTGAGACTGAACTGATCTTTAAGGTGAGTATTTGAATGATATATTTACGATCTAAGACAGAGGAGATAGCACTGCTGTACTGTTGCTTGATTGGTGTTTGTTGTAAGTGGATGGATATAATGTTCTATAGCTTGGCGCTGAATAATATCTACAAAGAAACAGGTCTTCTGTGTGCCAATTTGACCTAATACATTATACATTTTCTGGCTGTTGCTGCTCTAAAAGTTCATGATGAACAGACATTTTGGGGCCATTAAACAAAAAAACAACTCTCCTATGGGACCATGCACCCAGACGCCCCTACTACAGGCTTAGCCCCCCCATCCATAAACCTCTAACGACTTGCCTGGAAATCCCTAGTGGCTAAACAAGATGTGCGGGCAAGTACAACCAAGTCTTCGGTATGTGATTTGCATAAAGCTGATGAACAAGTTCCCACATGAGAAGATAGGATGATAGAGGATGTTATGTTAAAGGATTAATTTTAATATATTAGGTGAAAAAGGCTTTTTCCATGATAGAAGCCACTACAAGTACATACACATCTCCTGAGATATGCTGGCATCAGCTGCTTTACAGGAATGTATGCATTTAATAAGAACGTGAGTTATTCCACAGAGGAGCCTTTATAGGCTCAAAGTTATGAAACATTAAAGAAGTGAGTGAATGACCCGTCCATTTTCTGATGTCAGAGTGTTAAACCTGGTGCAGATATCCATACACAGGTCCAAATTTACTCACAGTCCTTCGATTTAAACTGTATCCTCACTTCAGTCAATAACACCCAAATACTACATTAATATTAAATTAATATTGAAATAATGTAGGTCTTTTTTCCTCTCAGAACAGTTGTGTATGTGTGTATGTGTTAAATCAGTGCTAGGTGTTACTGATACAACTCAATATGATATTTTCAAATATGTGTCAGCATCACTATCAGATGGTATTAAATTTGAACATTATTAATGAAGTCATGCTTCCTGACTTTCCTCATTTGTGTGCATTTTATGCAAATGACTTGGAGTGTGTACAGTACACATAGTAAAATGCTCCTTATCCAACAATTATTTCTGAAAAATCACTCAAACAGGAGTGCCATATGGTACAGTGTGTCAATATCATGATATATACCGGTGTAGATAATATATCACCCAGCGCTATGCTAAATGTTTATCGTGGAAATATGGAATTTATTTTATTTTTCTTGTTTTACGTTATTTTTTACATTAATTAATTCACTCTTGTATCTTTATGTCCTAGACATTTGATTGCATCCTTATATAATCAATGATTAGAGGCTGAGGCAACCTGATAAAAACCCCATGAGTCACTAAGACATTCTTTTCAGAATTTCTTTTTTTTCCTGATTTCTTGTCTTAATTTGCAATTTGGACCATTTGGCTCCACCCACTTATATTTTTTGCTAACAAGTGAAACCTACTTTTGTAAACTAGTCCTAGGTTTTTCAATCCATCCTTATGTAACTTATTTTAGAAAAATTGAAGGACTTGATAAATTGATATTTATGCCTATCATCAGCCAATTAGCAGTCAGCAGGCATTTAAAAAGCTTAACATTGACCAATCATCAAGAAACTGTTGTGGCACTTTCTATGTAGGCATTTTCTAACAACCAGTGATGTTTCAAACAATTTATCCACTGGTGGATTCAGGAAATAAAGTATATCTCATAAAGCTTTTTTGTCTTATACAACTGGTTTTACATAATGTAGTACAGTGTTCCAAATAACGTTGCAATTATTGGTGTATTACAAAATGTATAATTGATTTGCAACTTTAACGTTAACTCTGAAAACGTATCAAATTATCCTGAGTTTTGATCCTAACTTTTTGAAATTGGTTTTGAAATATTCTGAGGCCTGTATAGGTAAATAATTGATTTGGATTGGCTTTCAGGAGGCACTCAAAAACATTTAAAATGTTTCAATCTTTCTGTTACAATTCTATTAAGTATAAATATGCAAATACACAGTTGGTGTCATGTGATTCAGTTCTATTTCCTGAGTAACTTTGCAGTTATGTACATAATTGCACTCCTTGTCTGATCAAGATTTTTATTAAGGAATCATAACATTTTGACCTTTTGACAAAATTCTGACGTCCTTACGCTCGTCTCCTGCATGCTAAGAAGGCTTCTTATGGCTGCACTGGCCCTCGGTAAGGCATGCGTATCAAAAGGTTAAACTTTGAGAACCAAGTAACTTTGCAAATACAAAAGTTGTGTAACACTGGGTTGATGAATCAGACACTCTGACTCAAGGTTTATTAAGAGCAGAATCAACCAAAATAACAGGGTTAACATCAGATCAGGTCAGAAACCAGATTAACAAAACACAATGCATGAGCGAAGATGATAACCGAGTCAGATAAACAAGCGAGGGTCCTAACTAAAGAGCTAATACACAGATAGACTTAGCCAAAGGGACAAATCCGAGAATCAGCAACGAGAAACAAAACAAGGTCATAAACAGGATAGCTATCCAACAAGTACGACTGCATTTTAGAGCCACTGTTAATAAAAATAGTAGATTTCAAGAATAAAGTTGTAATATTTTGAGAAAAAAAAGTTGTAGAATTATGACATTAAAGTGGAATTAATACCAGGAAGGTTCGCAATATTGGGAAGGCAGCACCTCTTTGCGTTAAAATGAGAGGAGGTGAGTTGGTGGAGTTCTACTTTCATATCGATTCACTCATAAAGAAACACTCAGTCCCCCTGTCTCTCCTGCACATCAGCACCAGCCTGTTACTAGTATAAGAAACGGCTGAAACAGCTGAGCAGAAAACTGAGTTTATCTAGAATAAAGAGCCAGACGGACTCGGAGGAAACTGTCTGTCTGTGTTGTTGAAGGAGAATCTCAGGCAGGGTCGTCTACACGGCTATCGGGGGCTACATCTCCCCCCATTCAAAGAGGGCAAGAAGTTTCACAGACAGTGAGAATGATGATCAGAATGATCCACAAAGAGACAGGAGTGAGTGGACCGCCGGCGCCAGTACAGCAACCGAGACCCCAACGCGTTATGGCAGCCCCCCTACAGTTAGCCCCCCTACAGTTAGCCCTCTTTATCCTCCAAATAGTACAACTTTTTTTCTCGAAATATTATAATTTTTTTTTCAAAATATTAGGACTTTATTCTCGAAATATTACGTCTTTTTTCTCAAAATCTCACGACTTTGTTCTCGAAGTCTCTGTTTTTATTTTTATTAACAGTGGCTCTAAAACGCCATCATAAAAACAAGCACACAGCTCAGTATGCGCTGACAGAGGCAATACATCACAAAGACATGGTGCAAACAGACAGGCTTATATACATAGAAATACAGGTGATGCTAATCAATACTCAGGTGTCTGAGATCTGCTGGTTGGCTTGTGATTGGAGTCACATGACAAACAGAGGGATTCTGGGAAGCGGAGTCCGCAACAGAATAAGACTCTGAATGAGAACTGGGAACCGGGAAATGTTATTAGTAGTCTTGTATTTTGACTTCTTTGTTAAAAATCTTTTACATGCTACACAAAGCTCAAAAGATCAGTAAATATGAACTTATTTCATGATTAAAGGCCACTGCTCGTCATTTATGGCAAATAAAGGCTTTTTGATAAACTCTGACGTCCTTTCACTGTTTATCCTCTCTCTGTAAATAAGGCCCAAACTGCCGAAGGCCTCATTTTACTTATTCATGCTTGAACCCTTGAATTACTGCTTGGGCTGTATTTATATTCTTGTATGTAATCCTGTGCGTAGTCTGATCCTGATCACACATGACTGATCCCGCTCTGACCGTCTACAGGAATAGGGGAAACATTTCCACATCATTTTGTGGAAAGAAACCAAAGAGCGCACAGAAATAAAAGAAAGCTCTGATAACAGGCTGAGGCAGGTTTACATTACAGCAGAGAAATGATTCCCCAAGGCTCTGTATTCTGAAAGGGGGAGGAGTCAGTTAGTGTACTTAACTACATTCAGTTGAAAGCAGGCAGTTCCTTTCTGACCAGCACAAAGGTAAGTCATGCTCTGCTCTGCACGACTGACAAGACTGACAACTGCTAAATAAGATGGACGCTTGTGAACAAGGAACACAGGAGTACTTTTGTTTACAGTGTCATTTTCAAAATAGTTCTGTGCGATGAAATAAAGTCACGCTTTATTTGATGGTCCACTGTAGATGCTTTGTGGTTACTCAGTCTGTCTTTAACTCACATTCAACTAAATATCAATGAAATGCAACTGAACTTGAAGTTTAGTATGAAGGATTATATTAAATCCAGCCCTAAACCTACTCCTAAATCTAACCTTAATGTTGTTGAGACTCAGCTGAGTATCACCAGAAAGTTTGTTAATAATTTAAGTATCTGTAGATCATCTATAAGGGGCCATTAAAATAAGGTGTGACCAAATGTTCATGATGAGTAAATGTCTTTCAGATTTGCTTATGAATAGATGACCTTACCTTATTGTTTCTTTAACGGAGTGAAATCACAAGTAGAAATCAATTGGTTTAAAGCGGTAAAGTAAACAAAGTGTAAGATACTGTGATATTTTATCATGCGAATATTAAACGTATTATTGCTGCTAATGCAATTATCTGGATTTGAATGTTATTATTTTGAGTCTGCATCTAAAATTGAACTGAACTGAGATTGAATTTTAATGTTGGTCAACGCAAAGTCACATTTTCTATCGAGTCACCTTCAGAATAACATCCGAACATTTTGCAGGCAAAAGCAGTCGAACACCGAATCTCTTCCCCTCTCCTGCCTCCTAACATGTATCTACACTAACTGGTCTTTTTATTGGTGGCCACTCACTGGCCATTTCCCCCATCATCCATCAGTGGACAGGGACCACCACTGAGCAGATATAATGTGGGGGATGTTCCGCTCTGAGCAGTGAGACTGTAACAGTAGTGCTGTGAGTCTATTAGGCACATCGGCGTCGCGGGGGTTAACAGGCCTCTACAAACATCTACTAAGTACATTCATGCTACATTTTACACTCACGATTGCTGTTTAAAAGACATCACTGGACGCTGGCCACTCCAGACCACTTCAGTTATAACATTGGTGTTATTACCTGGAGCTGAAGAGATTCGGTGTTCGACTGCTTTTGCCTGCAGGACACTCAGATGTTATTTTGAAAGTGAACCTGAAAATGTGACTTCATAAAATTTTACAAGCTTTTTAGAAACTGAATTTCAGACGTTTAACTGCAGATCGTCAGATTCACACTGCTGGCTTACGAACGTTAAAGTCTCAGTTCAGAGTTCAGTTTGCTCCGGTGAGTGGCCACCCATAAAATGACCAGACAGTACATGTTAGGAGGTGGGAGAGGGGAAGAGATTCTGTGTTTCAAGACACTCAGATGTTATTTTGAAAGTGACTCTGAAAATGTGACTCAATAGAAAAGCTGAACGCTTTTTAGAAACCGAATTTCAGATTTTTGATTGTGCAAGACAAACGTTAAAATTCAATCTCGGTCCAGAATTCAGTTTCAGATACAGATTCAAAATAACATTCAAATTCAGATTCAAATCTCTAATGGCATGAATCAAACTTAAACATGAATCTGAACAAAACAGGGACGCTGTATAATGCATAATGCAGATGTTCACATAGTATCTTTTGGCTGTGTAACTACACTTTTTTACCTGATGGCTCTAAACCAGCTGATTTTTGCTTGTGATTTAACTGTGTCTGAGAAACGGTGAAGATAAGGTCATATTTTTATAAGCAAATTTAAATCACATTTCGTTTTTATGAACTGATTGTGTTTCAGTTTTTACTGCCATGAATTGATAGCGCTTCATTCGCTAATTCAAATCAGTCAACCATCCCAGAGCTTTATCCATTTTCCTTGTTTCTAATTATTTTTAAAAACATCTGCTAAATCACACATCAGTGCCAAAATCTTTCTCGTCTTCTCTGGTTCAGTAGCTGCCTGGCTGACCATGTGAGACTCTGCTGTCCAAGTTGCTGAATGACCAGCAGTAGATACAACAACAGTCATCACAGGTTTAAAGGTAGGTGAGTTATTCTCACAGGGCCAGATGTGATCTCGTAACAGGAGTATATCTGCACTCGTACTTCACCACCCACAGTCTGGTCAGATTCCTATTTAGGCTGGAAAGTCTAAAAAACACATTGGAGCCCCACAGAGTTGTTGTCCAGCATTCACTGACAGCCTCACACGGACGTTTACCTCCAAAACTGACTAAGCTATACTTTATATGTGTAACAGGACAGTATCAGTCACATGCTTGTGGACAAAAAGAGCAAACGAGCTTTACTAGTCTGTTCATTATCAAAGGTCGCCATCAAAAAACAGACAAAAGTCAAATCCAGCAAAAATACAAAAATACACAAACATAACAAACGGGGGTCAAGCAACCAAATCCAAATGGGAGCAGCCAGAAAACAGTATGGGGCAGAACTGGAATGGAATACCAACACAAGGGAAATAACGCTCAGTAGCTCTGGAAAGAAGCAATACCTTGCAACTAACTATGGCTAAAGCCCGGATAAACTAAACTAACTAGGTCATATCGCTGCTGTCAGAACAAAACCTCGGATCTCCATTTTTGTCGTTTTTCAGGTTTTGACATAATTTGAAAAAACTTGTTGTTCTCTACATTGTATGTCAATTTCATGATGAATGGACCAAAAGAAATGACCCAAAATGCCTTATAAAAAAGTCTGGTTCCATTGACTAACATTAAAAGTACAGTAGGTTTTTTCCTTCTCCTGTAAAGTTACTATTTTGAAGATACGAGGTTTTGTTCCAACAGCAGTGATATGATACGGAGAACAGGTGAACAGAGTCAGTAATATGGAGAATCAGAACATCGATAGGTGGATTGATGTGATGTCACAGTTGTGTGTTCTCCCTGAGGGTTCTGGGAATTGGATTCCACCAGAGAGTCTGAGCCATATGTAAACCGTATGAGTCGACATCAACATTACCTAAAGTAGCAGCCGACAGACGCTCAGTAAAACACACACACCAGCTTTCAAGTTCAACAAATAGCTGCCATGTTGTTCTAAATCAAAAAAGTAAGAAGAAAGTAGTAAAAACGGACTCAGTACCTGTTCAGCTGGGATTAGTTAGCCAGTCAGCTAACGGCTGGTTCATGTGAAAACAAATGAAAATGACCGTTTGGGTAAAGTATACTCTTCGTGCTGCTAACGATCTCCTCTTTCTTCCTCCGCTAAACTCGCCGTCTCTGAACTCATCAGGGCCGAAGTGTTTTTTGGGAGCTGCTTTGTTTTGATTGGCTTTCAGAGCTGGATTTAGGATTTAAACTGGTTTATGAGCTGAAATGCAGTTTAGTTTTACTCTGTAAAGCTATTAAAAATGAAAGTAGCCAGAAATCAGCACTGGATTCCAAATGAAGTCAAGTAAAAGTAAAAGTACTCAAAAAAGTACTGTTGCAGGGAAAATGTCCTCCAGTACTGTAACGAGACTGAATGTAAAGTGTTCTCAGCATTTCGGGGTAACAGAATGTTCCTTCTCTACAGGTCCTGATTGGGCGAAGCAAGAGAGAATGGGAGCTTCCTCCTCCACCCAGGTGTACAATGCATCACCTTATGAAATAGAGGTTTTATGCCCTGTAGGGACGCTGAAGAAAAAGATCATTGAGCTGGATCCCAAATCGGAGGATGGCGCTTCTACAACTGAAGAGGTCAGCAAAAAGCCCAGTAAACATAAACGCATGGTCATCACAGAAGAAGACCGAAATTGTTCAATGAGATTGCCATCTGGAGATGACGGCAGCATTAAAGGAAGCGGTCATTTGTTTATTACGATATATTTGCTTTCTGATTCTTCGGAAAAATCCAATATTGAAAATTCAAGATTCAAGTGCATATGCAGGAACTACCCTGTTCCCAAAAACAGGTCAATCATAGTGACAGAACACACGGTCAAGTTCCAAGGGATTAACAGCGCCCCCGGGGTTGATGAAAGTGGCAGGAATCTCAGTAGTTGTACATGAGTGTCCAGCCTGCTTCACTACTGCTGAAACTATACTCAGATGAGCGCAAGTCTGATCTGTATTCTGCTCCTTATTTAAACAGAAGTCTGGAAAGGCCATCAGCTCTTGCTATAATTTTCTGCATTGTTATCTTGAGATCACAAGATAATTAACTCGTTACCTCAAGATCCCAACTTTGTTAACTTGAGATCACAAGATAATGAATTTATCTCAAGACAACTCTGTCTTCAGACAACAAAATGGTTAACTCATCATCAAGACAACTTTGTTATCTTGAGATAACGAGTTAATTATCTTGTGATGGTGATAACTTTATTAACTCGAGATCATGAGATAATTTATCTCAAGACAACAGCTCTTATCTTGAGATCACACAATAGTTAACTCGTTATCCCAAGATAACAACTTTGTCTACTTGAGGTCACAAAAAAAGTAACTCATTATCTCCAGATAAGAACTGTCATCTTGAGATCACAAGGTAATGAACTCATTATCTCAAGAAAAAAACTTGAGATCACACAATAGTTAACTCGTTGTCTCAGGATAACAACTTTGTTACAAGGTAATTGACTCATTATCTCAAGAAAACAACTTTGTTATCTTGAGATAACAAGATAATTAACTCATTACCTCCAGATAAGAACTTAATCTTGAGATTACAAGCTAGTTAACTCATTATCTCAAGATAACAAGATATTTAACTTGTTATCTAAAAACAACAACTTAACTCATTATCTCAAGACAACAATCTAGAAAATTATAACCACCTAATGGCCTCTGTGAACTTTTGTATATTTGACCTTAATTTTGTAATTAAGATGATTTAAAAATATTCGAGCACAATAATAGAAGAAAAACAATGTGTGTTGTGGTTCTTCTCTAATTTACTTCCTTAAAGCTAAGAATGTGTAAAATGTCCCCGTCTGTTGTTCGTGTGTGTAAAACTAATGGTCAGTGAGGCCGAATGATTTCTGTAATTTGTAGTTTATGTTTGTTTCATATAATCTTTGAGCTTCCTGGACTTAAACTCTGCAAGTCTTGGTTGGAAACAAAAGGGTTCAAGTCTTGAAAACTGTCCAATCAGGATGTTTTTCTCCATGGTGTCTTAGTAGATTCAGCCAGTCAAGCTCTCCCACTGGTTAGGACTGAAGGCCTGGGGTGTCAGATCAAAGCTGCTTCCAAGTGGTCTCAGTTTAATCAGGTAAACTGGTTTCCCACCAGGAATGATGAATCTGGGGGTGCAGGAGTTTTTGATCCAGCCTGAACTGGAGGCTCTATTTTCATCATAGTACAGTAATCAAATAACACTGTACAAATAGAATAAACAGCAATGGTGAGGAAATTTTAATCACGCACAATTAACTCTGTAATACAGATCAACACTGATAGACGCCAACTAGCTATTAAACTATAACCATTTCAGGTTCTCCATGTTTTGTTTATCTATTAAATAAACCACATGAAAGAGAACGTCTGATGAACGAGTTCCTCTCTGGAGAAAATACCACTGAATTAGACCTGAAAGCAGTTCAACTGCTCATATAATGAGGAGCTGACAGTGGAACCAACCAGTCATTTTTAATTTACAGTGAGTGGAAAGAAAAACAACACTTCTGAAAGTTCTAGATAGGCCTTCTGTTCTAGATACTCCACTGTCTGTTAATACGAGCCGTAGTCTAAGCAGGTTTCAGTTAGTTGTTAGGAATGGAAACAACTTCACTGGAAAAGTGACTGTAAAACTGATTCATATAAGCTCAGATATATGTTAATGTCTTACAAGCTTCAAATAAAACATGGAATGTATTTTACAAGCCTCGGATGTGTGTGTGTGTGTGTGTGTGTGTGTGTGTGTGTGTGTGTTTAGTCTAGAACAGCCTAAAATGTTCATTTAAATCACTGTTAGCTTATCGCTAACATACTACTAGAAGCCCATAGGGATGCTACCAGTAATTAGTGCTACCATAGAGGTGTTTCACCTTGTTTTGACTGAGTTTAAGGCCCAAACTGAGGGCGTCGCTCTGACTGTGCACAAACACCGTCTGAGACAAACACATCAGTGCAGCTGGAGATCATTCGTTTTGAAGGACAGCCGGAGACGCTCAGCATCGAGCAGCAGAGCAACTGTTGGCAATGTGAACCCAGAGATGTGTTTGATGGAAGCCCTGCCCCTTTGACCAATCTGAAGCAGGCATCCCAGCCCAGAATGTACCACCTCCACACCCCTCAACCACTTTTCCTGGAAACCCGGCTGGTTTGTGGGTTCCAGGGAAATGGCTGAATGACAAAAGGGCTGGGTTTCCAGGAAAAATGATTTGTGCATATGGTACATTTGAGGGCATGGCTTGATGACATGGCATGCCCTGATTGGTCTGCTGGACCTGTCAAAATTTCATATGAAAAGTGCCGCATATTTCTCTCTGTCTCTGTCTGTGCCTCTCGCTCTCGCATTAAACAACAACAATTAAAGTCCCTTCAAGGAGGGGGAGGAGGAGCATGCAGTGTAGTTTTGCATGCCACTCCTCTAGAGCCCCTTCTGCGAGGCGGGCAAGTGGCAGCCACCACAATATGTCTAACAAATTTGATGTCCTACCACATGTGCACAGCTCCCTACAGGATATTCAATGCACTGTTTTTGTGTAGAAGTCCAAATTTCATAGCATACATAGTGCACTATGTAGGGAGTAAGGAGACATTTGGGACTCAGCCATAGTCTTTAGGGCTTTCTAAAAACATTACGCACCGCCTTCCTGGCCTCCATGGAATAAAATTCAACGAACTACTCAGGCTCTCCATCACCACATCCGGAGCTGAGAGAGCCGTACGGTGGAGTTAAACACTTCTCGCAAAGTGGCAGAGTAAGTCATGCTGCCAGGAAAGACCGCCCTCAGCACCCCACCACACAGACACCACCCCTCAGACAAGTACTCACTACAGCAGTTTGAGCAGTTTCAGTCGGTCAGTCTATGGACGTTTCAGTAAGTCTTTCTTGTATGGTAACAGTAGTGAGATCTGCAGCGGTTCAGAACTTTCCCCAACAGATTTAAACCCACCGTTTATCCTGGATTCACACACAGCCTGATTCTACAGCAGCTGACCGACCTGTAAGTAAACTCCTCTGTACTCGTTTGTTGTGACAGGAGACTGTAAAGTGTTTGGAGATGTTTCTCCTGTTAGTTTTGGGGTGAATCTATCTATCTGTCTGTCTGTCTGTCTATCTATCTATCTATCTATCTATCTATCTATCTATCTATCTATCTGTCTGTCTGTCTGTCTGTCTATCTATCTGTATGTCTGTCTGTCTGCCTATCTATCTATCTGTCTGTTTGTCTGTCTGTCTATCTATCTGTCTGTCTATCTGTCTGTATGTCTGTCTATCTGTCTGTCTGCCTATCTATCTATCTGTATGTCTGTCTATCTATCTATCTATCTATCTATCTATCTATCTATCTATCTGTCTGCCTGTCTGTCTGTCTATCTATCTATCTGTGTGTCTGTCTATCTATCTGTGTGTCTGTCTGTCTATCTATCTATCTGTCTGTCTATCTATGTGTGTCTGTCTGTCTATCTATCTGTCTGTCTGTCTATCTATCTATCTGTCTGTCTGTCTGCCTATCTATCTATCTGTCTGTCTGTCTATCTATCTGTATGTTTGTCTGTCTGTCTATCTATCTGTCTGTCTATCTGTCTGTATGTCTGTCTGTCTATCTGTCTGTCTGCCTATCTATCTATCTGTATGTCTGTCTATCTATCTATCTATCTATCTATCTATCTATCTATCTATCTGTCTGCCTGTCTGTCTGTCTATCTATCTATCTGTGTGTCTGTCTATCTATCTGTGTGTCTGTCTGTCTATCTATCTATCTGTCTGTCTTTCTGTCTATCTGTGTGTCTGTCTGTCTATCTATCTGTATGTCTGTCTGTCTGTGTCAATCTATCTATCTATCTGTGTCTGTCTGTCTGTCTATCTATCTATCTGTATGTTTGTCTGTCTGCCTATCTGTCTGTCTGTCTGTATGTCTGCCTATCTGTCTATCTATCTATCTATCTGTCTGTCTGTCTATCTATCTGTGTGTCTGTCTGTCTATCTATCTATATGTCTGTCTGTCTGTCTGTCAATCTATCTATCTATCTATCTATCTATCTATCTATCTGTGTCTGTCTGTCTGTCTATCTATCTGTCTGTCTGTCTATCTATCTGTATGTTTGTCTGTCTGCCTATCTATCTATCTGTCTGTCTGTCTGCCTGCCTGCCTATCTGTCTGTCTGTCCGTCTGTATCAAAACCTCCTAATTTTCCACTATAAATTAAGCCTTGAAGGTGTTCATGTGCAGCTTGTAAGTCCGGAACTCGTACTTCATTCTGAAGGCAGCATAACATTAACTAACAGTCCTGAAACGTGAAAAGAGTCTGTGAGCTCATGAGCGGCTAATTTGGTTTCACTTTCGATTTCCTGCTTCCACAGTTTCTGAGTGATGAATGCTGTCTGTTAATGAGGGTTAAAGATCAGTATTTATATATCAGTTCTCATATATAAATCTATATATCTATAAATCTATAAATATATCTCAAAAACTTCATCAGCCTCCTTCAGTCACCTCGTCATCATGAACAGCGAAGACAAAAACAAAGAGGAGTGGATTTCAGAACCCATCTGTAAACAGCCACGGTCATCATGTTCACCGTGTCCACCATGTGACTGCTCATGTGCAGGAGAAGATGGGGCGTGCTCACATTTCTGTGAGGTCAGTGACTTTTGACACTCAATGAACAATCCGTTTTCACCATTGGACACAAATAATCTTTTGTATAGAGAATCCAGACAATGTGCAAAAGTCTGGACTTCAGGCAGGAACATATTGTCATTGTGACATTTTGACCGGGGCAGCTGAGGCGGGACGCAGGGCTAGAGTGGGTGGACCGTGGCATAGTGGTTAAGTCTCAGGTCTGGATTATTAAAATGTAAATAAATTGCAACATTGCATACAGAAAGTCCATCTCAATACTTAGGTTAGAACACATTGTTTCACTGGTGTCTTATAGGTTACATAATGTAAGTTTACCTTTATTTGCTTATTGTCCTCTGAAACACACACTCAGCTAATAAGTTTATGCTTTATGCAGACTAATGTTCGCAAGTTATTAGCAAGTTAGCGAGAGACACCAGGGACTTTCCTGGAGCATCAACGTTTGTAGAGAGGTATAAACGTAGCCTTACTTTCATGCAACATCAATTCACTGAGCGAGTATAATATCCAAATAAAATATATATATTCAATATTTAAGTCAGTTACAGTTCAAAGGCTTGTGACACCAAAAATATGAGTGTATATCTTTTCTACATCTTTTTAAAAGATGTGAGGGGGCAGAGAGAATCTGCATTTGCACAGAACCCAGAATCCCTGCTGAAGTGGGAACAGTGTATCTGCATTCAGAAACAGTCCTACCTGGAAACCAGCTGAAGTGAATATACACACAAATGCATCTCTAAATTCTTGTCTTCCATCTTTCTCTTCTTTTCCATTTCATTAGATTTGTGTAAACAGTTGCAGTGCTATGTGTGTGTTGTTCCCCTTGTGACCAGTAGTGGCTAATGCACCAAAGCTCCGATGCAGAGATTAAAAGTAGGTGAATTAAAACTTATACCATTCGATTAATTCCAGCAATTAACACCTTTCAACTTTAATCTGAAGTGATTAAATACGTTGTAGGAAAGCTGGAGCTTCAGGACTTTCAACTGGCTACTGGGATGGAGCTTAGCACCTGTGAGCGATGAGGAATGCTCCCTACTGGCCACAGAATTACCATCTCACATGATAAATTCATCTCATCATACTGACAGCTAAAGATAATCAACATTAAGGGGGGGTGTATATTACTGTTACTGTATATCAATATAATTAATCTCCAAAACAACATCATGTTCCATGAAATGGGTCCATCATTGTGACAGATAACGAGGTTCTAGGATATTGCAGAGATGAATCTGGCAAAAATCATAACACAAACCCAGTCTGTTTCATGAGGACAGAGGCTAGGATTGTTAATTCTGTGTTAATTCTGTTATGTTTGTTCTGTGATATTCATTAAAATGACTTATATATTGTTTATTTGTATTTTGCTACTTATATTGTTATAGTTTACACTCAAATCACTCTTGAATCACATGTTTACTGACTTGGATTTGCCCTTAACTGACTAGACTGAGGACTGAAATTACAGCCTGAGGTAAAAGAATTAGGACTGTGAGATCTCAAGGATTTGGCACAGTATCATCAAAAGATTCAGGGAATCCTGAGGATTCTCTGTGCATAAAGAAAAAGGCCGAAAACCACATCTGAATGCCTGTGTTTCCCTCAGACGGCACTGCTTTATAAACCAGCACACTTCTGTTATGGATATGAGCACATGGCTCAGGAATACTTTAACAAACTGCTGTCAGTAACACAGTTCAGATTGTGTGCTGTGTGTCTTTCTTTACTAGGAGTAAATGCTACAATATATACACAATCTGGAGCTCCATATGCTGCCTTCTCGACTCAGGCATCAAACCTGGAATAAGCATATGTTTACAATAAAAAAAATTTCATAAGGTAAAATCTCACATTTTGTGTTTTTGTACTCTTCTTAATTTAATACAGGTCAAATTTAATACAGGTATCAGTGTACTGCACTGATACATTTGCAATCTAGTCAATATACATAAATCTGGTCTAAATACCTAATATTTCTCATTTTGACAAAGTAAATAAAATGGCCACATTTGTGCTGTAGACATGGCGACCCCTGACCCTCAGTAAGTTTTTCTGCAATGACCCATTTCAAATCTAACCTCTTTGAATGACTGTGTTTACATCTCAACTGCTGAATCATACAGAGACTTGAAAAATGGGTGGAGTTATGCTTCAAGAATGTTTTCCTTCCCCCGTGGAAAGTTATCATTTTGGAGATACAAGGTTTTTGTCTGATAGTGACAAAATAATATAAAATTCTATAATACAATTACTTGTCCAGGGTGTTTCCTGCCCTCCACCCAACAAGAGCAGGGATGGGCTTCAGCACCCCCTGCGACTTAGATAGTGTGTGTGTAATGTTCTTCCAAAGGTCCCATAATGAGAAACATTGGTTATAATAAATACATTTAAGTTGATTTCACTTTGCTGGATCTTGTTTCTAATCATTACACAAAACTGAGTTCTGCCATTTTAGGACCACTGTTGAAAAAAACCCAAAAAGTAATAGGTTTTGAGAGTAAAGCTGAAATATTTCGATAATGAAGTCATAAAGTTACAAGAATAAACTTGTGATTGCGTTGGTGGCCTCGGTTGCTGTGCTGACGACGAAAATGACGCTGAGCTCACTGGAGTTCCTCTTCTTCAGGAACGATCATTTTGATTGTCATTCTCATTGTGTCCTGTCAAACTACATGCCCTCTTCGAAATGGCACGGAAGTGTAAAACACTAATAGCCGTGTAGACGAGCACTGCAAGCTCTTCTTCAACAACACAGACAGTTTCCTCCGAGTCCGTCTGGTTCTTTATTCCAAATAAACACAGTTTCATGCTCAGCCTTTTCTCATACCTTACCAATCTGGTGCTGATGTGCAGGAGAGACAGGGAGACTGAGTGTTTCTTTGTGGGTGAATCGATATGAAAGTAGAACTCCACCAACTCACCGCCCCTCATTTAACGCGAGGAGGTGCTGCCTTTACTTCGCAAAGCCTTTGGCTACAATACTGTGACTTCTTCTGGAATTAATGCCACTTTAATGCCGTAATTCTGTGACTTTATTCTCAAAATATTACAACTTTATTCCCAAAATATTACGACTTTATTCTCAAAGTCTACTATTTTTCATTTTTTTAACAGTGGCCCTAAAACGCTGTCATAGTTTTCGATCCCCCAAGCTATTATTTAATTTGCTGCTCAGGAAGCAGAAGTTTTGTGTTGTGCTGCGTGAAGGTAAGAGGTTTTGTTCAGCATCTAGCTAAAGTCATCACTTTACTAGGTCGTCCAGGTTCAGATTATACTTTGAAAACACTGTGAAGTTTATTGTGACACAAATACAAGGAGGGTTTTGTTCTTTTGGAGACATGATGAGACCTACATTACGCTAACAAGCATGGCTATGATGCACTAAAGCTATTGTTTTGTGTAGGATGGATGTATTGGTTCTTTTATTCTTATTAATTTTCATTGTATGCAATAGCATCTCCTATGGGTTGAGTGAATTGTTCTGCAATGTAAAAAGCCTATTACAAAATAAACTGCAGCAACTGAACTACATTAATGAACACTACTGGTGTCCAGTCTCCCTCCTTTCTCCTCAAAAATACGCAACGCAGAGGAAATGTGGGCGTGGACTGAGTCAGCAGATGGTGAAGCGCATGGGACATTTGGTTTACATCTTTGTCGCCGTGACCCAGATCACATAGACACCAAGAGGGGACCTGGGTGAAGCAAAAAAAAAAGAAAAACAAACTTCTATCCTTTGGACTTATAACCCTCTCATTATTTCTGAATTGAATATCACAGTTGGTGACAATTATGCTGAACTGGTGATAAACCTGTTGTGTGTGTTGAGTGTAAATAGATGGTTAGGCTGCATTCACATTACCAGGTTGAAGTGGCACAAATCAGATTTTTTGCCCTAAAGTGACTCAGATCTGATGTTTTCAGGGCTGTGTGGACACACAAATCTGATCTTTCAAATCCGACCTGAGTCACTTTCATATGTGGTCCTAGATCGGATACGTATCCGATTTATGGCCATGTGACCTTAATGTGACACTCAGATCTGAATTCATGTGCTTTTTCTCCCCTGCGCCATCATTCAGCGTTACCATGGCAGCAGCGTTGAACAGAAGTTAAAGCCTGTAAATGGTGGAAAAGCAGCTCACCTCACCTTTTTCTCCTTCGTCTCGCTCTAATAATGAAGCTGAGAGCTGATCAGAGTTAATTATCTTCTCAGCGAAGCTCGTTCTGCTCGTTAGTTTGTGCTGATGATGCACGTGATTCATTCACATGACGTTACTGAGTAGGATGTGCTCATGAGGGTCATTTCAGGACGCCGGTTCATCACATTAATGACAGATTTGAGTCACTTAGCTAAACGAGTGTGAAGCATCCTGTCAGAGAGATCGGATTTGAGCAAAAAATCGGATTTGAGCAACGAGGCTTGTAATGTGAACGTAACTTAAGTGATAACAGCCACATTCGCATTTAGCTGTGTTATAATTGTGTATAATCCTTATAGCCTGCTCTCCATACACAGCACTCGCAAATACTTCACCTTGTGTTCAAAAGAAATGCCAATGCTGTCATAATAAGAGTCCTATATATTAGTTGTTATACTGAATTATTCATTATCATGTATCATGAATTATTATATTGTGCACTGCTCCACAGCGACATCTGGTGCCAGCCCCTAATGTAGAGATGCCACTATGTTGGCTAGTTCATATGATTTGATTACGTTGCATGTGGCTTCTCTTTGATATTAAAGATTGAAGCTGTAGAATGTGGAAAATAGAGAAGCAAGCATGGTCAAGAAAGTTGGCTTTATGCCCCTCACAGCTGATGTGTCCCTCAAGACTGACCATCTAGCATTCAGTACAGCTCCCTGTTTTCACACCTGAAAACAACACAAATGAAGAGTTGCCCACAGGCAGCAAGGATAGCGCCATTTTTGCTGAAATACAAAACTGTTGCATATTATGCAGGGTTTTTTTTGTAAGCATAACAAGCAGTAGCAGCCAAGGAGTTGCTGGTAGGGTGACCATCCTCTCCACATCAGCTGCAGTAGCAAATGACTAGAACATGTGTCAGTTTAATTGTTTAGACAGAACACCAACATATATCCCTCACTGAAGTACCAGCATCACCACTGAACATATTCCTTACTTCCCCCTTTTCAGAGCTAGTTAAATCAAATCGTCTAACTCATATCAACCATAGTGCTGCAAATGCTTTCAGACACCAGCTAGCTAAAGTACATTAAAGTGTTTTTGTGCAGAGAGAAGATGTGACGTTACTCAGGCCAAACACTGCGTACGTGAGACCTGTTCTCTAACAAAACTGTAATGTGAATTTCAATAAACCGCTGACACCACGTAATTCAGTTTGTTAGCTAATTTAGCTAGCAAGTTATCAAACGCTCCCTCTCTCTCTCCAAATTCACACTCACATGTTCGTCTACAGAAACTGATATATTAACTAATAAATAGAAATTAATGTTAAAGAAAAACCTACTTTGTCCAGTGTTGCACAGGTGAGAAAGGCAAGCTTAAGGGAAAATGCACTGCTAAGACAGTATCCAGTCCTGCTAGCATTTGACGGCTAGCTGCTGAATATGCTAAAAGGACAACAAATGTAGTATCCTACAAAAGGTTACGGATGAGTGTTACACACGCGATGGGAAATGAGGAGCCTCCATACACGCAAAAAAGAGTTTACTTGCGATCTTCACAAGCTGAAAGCCCAAACAATGCACATTTCGTCAGCACTGAAACATGGCTGTATGCATGGCTCTTACAATGCACTTGATTGTACAGGACCCTCTCGCTGCACTAGATTTTTTCTGTATCCAAACGAAGTAAAATACAACTCAAATAGTTCAAAACTTTAACAAAAGGCTTCCCTCAACGCGACGAGTTTCTTATTTCACTGGCACCATCCCCGTCTTTCTTAAATACTGCAGGCTACTATTGTGAAGCTCAGCAGGTCATCAACACTTTCACAGCTCCGCTAGACCATACTGATTTCTACGGTCATCAGTATTCACTCACAACCCAAGCATGTGACTCATATTTGCTACTACAATGCTGTTTGTGTCATACACATTCATTTGGTATCCGTATT